ATCGTGCATTTTATGGTCGTGTTTCCATAAAGATGGCTGTTAATGTCACAGTGATGCAGAAAAAACCCATTGAGATCGTATTTTTTGAATTTAGATGCAAAAGATGTAATTTGAGAAATCTAATTTTAGTTCTGTTTTCCATGGCTTACCCTTTCTGAAAGAATTGCGTTTTTACCATGCCACAAATAATATAAGATTTATTTGATCTTTTAATTTTGCAAAATGAAATCTTCGATTTATACGTCAATCTGCAGCAAACTATAAATTTTTGTAAATTCAGTGCAAATTGACAATTTTTCAAGCTGTACACGAATTTTCTGGAATTCCTGATGGAGGTTATGTCTCAACATAAGCGATTAGGAGGATTTGACGATAATATGTATAGGCTTAAACATTGTAGTTTTACTTTACTTCTTATATATGTGATGGTCCAATAGCATTTATGTTTTAAGCCCTCATCGTTCGTCCCGAAGCTGCTGAAGGAGCAAGTGGATCATCAAGAAGTTCGACTAGCACCCCTGAAGCCGCTGCTGCTAATCAAGGTATGTTTTCATAATTTTTCAAAAGTCGGTCCAATCCCATTTAAGCATCTTTTATAGAAGATCTTTCCCCTTGCGAGTCGGCTACTACAAAAAGGCGACGCACTCGCACAAATTTCTCCGGATGGCAACTTGAAGAGCTAGAAAGCGCTTTTGAGGTGAATTTTATAACAATAAATTTGCAGCATCTGAAATATTGAGCCATAAATACCTAAACCACTGCTGTATATAGAAGCATTTGATTTTGCTTTTCCAAGGGCTATATAGCTGACAAATTGAATTAGTAAGCAGCTTCAATAGAAAAGGCGTTCTTATAAATGAACACAAAACAAAAGAGATAAGATTTTTACAATGGCTTTGCACTATTAGAGTGTGGCTGAGCCATATATTACAATCTAGTGTAGTTATGCTTGCAGTTGTGATTTGAGAACATGAGCTGCTAAAATTTTTGCGGTGAAAAAAGGGCACAATGAACTTCAATACGTACACATAATAAAATCTCTTTTCCTTTCACTTTGAAATTTTCAGGATAGTTATCATAATTCTGACTGAAAGACTTAAGGCTATACCCAAAAATGTGAATATCGACGTTTCTAAGCGTACTTAATTGCTTTTAAAATTACAGATAAATCAAAATGAGTTTCAGGTCAGATTTCGAAATAAATAAGGCTTTAAGTTTGTGTATTTTACGACTTCGCGAAAAGAAAGACTTTCGGAAAAAACATCTTGCAATTACAACAGCCAACCACAGATATACGAAAAATTTGGCTATATTGCACTTTGTTCACTCTATCCAAGGATTTTCAAAAACTTTTCCAAAATCAAAAACGAGAACTGTAGAAAACAACTAAGTTCAGGGTAGTTAACCTGTGGGTTGGACATCCTAATGATTATTCGTATTACCATCGAATATCAGGAAACAGATCAGTACTGCTTGAAAGAGTGAGACTTTCTGCACAAAGTACTGTTTGCCTAACATTACTCAAACGATATGAGTGTGGATCCAAAAAACGGCACGAATTTTACCGACCTAATATTTTCTGTTTGATAGAATATAAATTCTTATCTAAAACTTTTCAAACAATACTTTACACCGGAAATAAATTCTTGGTAAGGTCCAAATTTACGAAAAACTAAAGATTTTCGTGATTACGCTTCCACACATTAGCAATTATCCAAACTTTTTAGGCAAGTCACTACCCAGATGTGTTCATGCGAGAAGCCTTGGCATTGAGACTGGATCTTCTGGAGAGCAGAGTGCAGGTAGAAAAATTACTAATCGGATACTTGCCAATGGCTACAATTCCAAAATATTATAATTTCTTTAACTGAGACGAGATCTCCGAATCATACGATCAAATACAGCATATCATGCCGTGAAAAATACATTAGCCGTAAAGTTCTTCGAAGTATTTTTGCTCAAATTTTTGGAGTTTTTGTGCCATTTCTTACTAACGTAATTGAATGTAGTTTGACCAATATTACAACAAGAAGAAAGTAGCCCTTAGTCACTTTATCTACTTTTGATCATCTCTCATGCTTGTCCAAGCACTCATCGCGCCGAATTGAGTCGTATCTTTTCTCGGCCGTTACCATAGGCCGTAGGTTTACTTCTTCGTCTTGCAAATATAATAGGCAGCTGGTCCCGGGGGAGCGTTTATCTGCGCTTATTGCTCGAAATCTCTCCGGACCACGCGAATTAGGCAGAGACGTCAAAACAGTGATAGATTTTGGAGCTGGCAAAACTGCGCGCGCGGACATCTACCGTATCCGCGAGCGAGCGAGCGCACTCTTCCGCTGGGACTTCGCCCGTCAGCCCCCGTTTGTTTATCATTTTCGGGCCAATGAAAATGGCTTGCCAGGCTGACGCTTATCCATCATCAACTCGCTACTGTATTAATATGTTTTTCAATAAGAAGTTACCATAAGCGCTATCCCCAAAATTTCCAGTGGCCGAGACAA